ATGTTAATCAGTCTACCATGTGGAACTTTGTCAAATGCCTTGCTAAAGTCCATTTGGACAATGTCTACTGCTCTGCCTTCATCAATCTTTTTTGTCACTTTTTCAAAAGAATTCAATCAAGTTACTGAGACATGATTTCCTACAGAAAAAGCCATGTTGACTATCCCTAATCAGTCCTTGCCTTTCAAAATACATGTAAATCCTTTCCCTCAGAAGGCCCTCCAACAACTGACACACCACTGACATTAGGCTCACCGGTCTATAATTCCCTGGCTTTTCCTTACCACCTTTTTTAAATAGTGGCACCACGTTAGCCACCCTCCAGTCTTCTGGCACCTGATCCGTGGCTATTGTTGATACAAATATTTCAGCAAGAGGCCCAGCAATCTTCCCTAGCTTCCACAAAGTTCTGGAATATACCTGATTAGGTCCCAGGGATTTATCCACCTTTATACATTTTAAGATGACCAGCCTCTTCTCTTTTGTAATATGGACACTTTTCAAGATATCACTGTTTTCTTCTTCAAGTTCTCTAGCTTTCATATCTTTCTCCACAGTAAATACCGAACAAAATACTTGTTTAGTATTTCACCCATCTCTTGTGGTTCCACACATTAATGTTGACCTCTAAGGAGCCCTATTCTCTCCCTAATTACTCTTTTGCCCTTAATGTATTTGTGGAGTCTCTTTGGATTCTCCCTAACCCTATTTGCTAAAGTTGCTTTCATCAGTCATGGCATAGAGTATAAGATCAAGGGGTTAATGTTGGAGTTGTACAGGGTGTTTGTTAGGCCATAGCTGGATTACTGCATGTAGTTCTGGTGACTTCACTACAGGAAGAAACTTGATAGCACTGGAGAGGGTACAGAGGAAGTTCACCAGGATGTTATCTGGGATGGAACAACTGAGCTATAAGAAGATACTAGGTAAACTTGGATTGTTTTCTTCAGAGTAGAGAAGGCCGAGGGGGACATGATTGAGGTGTAAAAGATTATGAGTGGTATGGACAGGATGAATTGAGAGCAGCTGTTCCCATTGGTTGAGGGATCAATCACAAGGGGGCATAGTTTTACGGTAAGGGGCAGGAGATTCACAGCTGATTTGAGAAAAAAACTTTTTTACTGAGAGGGTGGTGGGATTCTGGAATGCACTGCCTGGGAGCATAGTGGAGGATGAAAACTTTACAAACTTTAATATAAAAAATTGGATGAGCACTTGATATATCATAACATTCAAGGATATGGGACAAATTCAGGAAATTGGGATTAGCACGCATTTAGTGGTAGTTATGTTGGTGCAGACCTAATGGGCCAAATGGCCTTGTCTGTGCTGAATGACTCTATGAATCTATGACACTGCAGCATACTTCAGCTATGGAAATAGACTGAAGAAGTTTGGACTATACTGCCTGAAGAGAAGAAGGCAGATCCGATTGATGTACACAAAATCATGAGCAGGCTGAACAGACTAGATAGAATGAAATTGTTTCTGCTTGTAAAAGAAGCAAGAATGAGCATGGAATTAAAGAAATGTGTAAAAAAAGCAAGGGGTAATTTAAAAACTCTTGAGGCATTTACAAAGGCATTGGATTTCTTTACAGATAGTAATGGTGTGCAGGGATATGGGGAAAAGGCAAGAGATTGTCATCAGATAATAGAGCCAGTATGTCTTCGATACTCCTGCCAGTCTGGATGACGACATCTGCAGGAAGTGCCACCAATTTGATCAGCTTGAGTGCCAGGTTTTGGAGCTTGAGCATCAGCTGAAGGCACAATAGCACATCCAGGAGGAGACTAAGGGTTACATAGATAGGACATTTTTGGATGTGGTCACCTCACAGTTTAAGGAAATGTAGTCAAAGAAAGAATGTGCAGCCACCAGTAAGAAGAAGGGAGGCAGATGGGTAAGTCCTAGAGTGCATCTCACTCAAGAACAGATTTCCTGTATTGGAAAATACTGATAGCAACGGTTCCTCTGAGCAGAATAGCTGAAGCCCATTTCCATAAGGGAGGGGAAGAAAGAGATGAAGAGCAAAACTGATAGGAGACTCAATATGTGTTCCTGCAGCCATAGCCATGACTCCAAGATGGTATGTTATCTCCTTATGACCAGTGCTAGGATATCATTGAATGGATGGAGGGCATTCTGAAGGGGGATGATGGAAAGTCAGAAATCATGATTCACGTAGGTACTGTGTGGTTATTCTCCTTAAATGGACTACAGGAGAATCAGATATGGAGATTAACTTCATGTTAATTCAAACAACATCGATCTTAGACAAGCTTAACAGAATTTTGTCTGAAAATCTACCCCATACCTGTCTAATAAATATAGAAAATCATCAATCTTTATACCCCCAAAATCACAAATGTGTTTACACTTCATTCTGGTACAATAAACAGAAATCTTCCATTGTAGGTCTTTCTCTTATCCCGTCTGTAGGAATTTGTTTATGCTCTCCAGTCTGCTGTCAAGGTTGATATAGGCCTTAGGGTGTGCAAGGTTCTTCTCCAATCATTTTGGCTGATGCTTATTCTTAGGGTGTTTAAGGTTCCTGCCTGCTTAAATATGCCTTACAGTACTAGCTTGTAAGTTGTCACTCTACTCCTGTTGTAATCTTGAAAATCTTCGAGCAGGACCTCAAAGATTGTAATCTCTGGATTAATCCTGATGTCAGATGCTATTGAGTATAGCAGGTGGTGGATAGAACAGATAAATGTGTGACTGAAGAGTTAGGCAGTATGGAAGGTTTTAGATTCTTTGACTACTAGGACCGTTTCGGGGGAAGGTGTGAGGTGCACCTGAATAAGAACAGGGTCAATATCCTTTAGAGAATGGGGAGGGGTTGTTTGCTCATGCTGTGGGTAGGGGTTTAAACCATTTTGGCAAAGGAATGAGATGTCGAGTGGAGGTATATTAGGGAGTAATGCTCAGACAAGCATACAGGAAAAGCAAAGTCGATCTGGAAGCCAAAGCGTGTATAGTCAAGTTGAGGCACAAACAAGCAGCATGGAAAGACTGAGTAACATTTATTTTACTGCAAGGAGACTTGCATGTAAGACAGATGAGTTGAGGGTATAGATTAATACATGGGGATAGGACATCATTGCTATCACAGAGACATGGTTCATGGAGCGGCAGGACTGGCATCTCAATATTCTGGGGTATAGAATCTTCAGGTGAGACAGGGAGGGTGTAAAAGAGAAGGTGGTGTCATAATATTGATCAAGGAGCCAATTACTGCAGTAAGGAGGGATGATATCTCAGAAGGTTCCTTAAATGAGGCCATCTGGAGAAAAATTAGAAAAAAAAGCAGACAATCAGATTGTTGGTAGTGTATCATAGACCTCCAAACAGTTGAAGAGAGATAGAAAGACAAAAATGTAGGTAAATCTTGGAGAAATAACAATAGGGGATTTCACCTTTTCCAATATTAAGTAGGATTGACAAAGTGTGAAAGGCTTGAAGCGGGTGAAATTCTTAAATGTATCCAAGAGATTTTTTAAGCCAACATGTAGACTGACATGGGAGGTGGTGGTGCTGCACCTAATTTTTGGGAACAAAGCTGGGCAAGCAGTTGAAGTGTCAGTGGGAAAAAAATTCAAAAAATGTGACCATCTCTCCATAAAATTTAAGGTAGTTATGGAAAAGTAGAAAGATGGGTCAGAAATAAAGGTTGGTAATTGGGGGCAGGCCAATTTTATGTGATAAATCAGGATCTGGTCAAAGTGGAACAGAAGCAGCTACTTGTAGGAAAATCTACAGCAGGACAGTGGGAGTCATTCAGAAAGGAAATAGTGTAAGTGCAGGGCCAAGAGGGTAATGAAAGGTAGGATGCATAATTTCAAAGAACCCTGAATGTCAAAGAATATATGGTATTGGAAGAGGAAGAAAAGGAAGCTTATGCAAATTGGATCCAAAATTATCTTAGTGGCAGAAGGCTGAGGGCAATGGTTGAAAGATGTTTTCTGGACCGAAGGTCTGTGTTCAATAGTGTACTGCAAGGCTCAGTGCTGGATCCCTTACTGGTTGTTGTCTACATTAATGATCTAGACATGAATTTAAGAGGTATGATCAGTAAATTCGCAAATGACATGACAATTGACGTTGTGGCAAATAGCAAGGACAAAAGCCTTGTCAGAATCTCTACTTGTTAGACTACCTAATGGTCTTCCACAACCACACTAGACAAAGTAGGCCCCCGTATAAAAAGGATGGTGGCAGCAAATCTACATTATGGAAAAGAAGAGTTCAGTTAACTCATACAACATGATGGTCACTGGTGAAGGGTTTATTATGCAACATGGTGCCAGCAGTGGGCATCATATGGTCTTACGTTAATCATAAGCACTTTTGCACCATCTCATCAGTCTGATGGGATATAAGGTAAAAGGTAAAGTCTCCACAGTCCTTGCAGGGTTACACTCTCGTTAGAGAATATTATTGTTGAAAACACATATAAAGGCACCATCAACAACCATTTATCTTTTATTTACAAATTTTCTCACAAGGTTTTAATCGTTAAATTTTCAATTTTAACAGTTTTTTTGCTGATGGAAAAACTTTTATTTGCAACTTTGGAGTGTGGGAACTGGAGCAGGTGATCCGGGATCCTATTGGATAAATGAAGCTGATTTAAATAGTCCTCTGTTGCTGGGGCCAATTCTGAATTTGGCAGGACAGCTACAAAATAAATGGCACCAGGGTTTGTGCGTTTTGTTTGTCGTGAACCACCTGCTAGTGCCGCTAGAATATATCATGGTTAGTCAGGTCGAAGGTATCTGTAAATTTTAGGGTATTACCATCATTTTAGGAAAGCGCATCATAATACTTCTGTCTTCTAAATTCTAAGCTCCACCCTTGTGTTAAACCCTCATGTTTTACCCCTGGAGCAGACCAATTAAGAAACTCAGTATCTTAGGGTTGATTTTATTCATTTCAACGCGTTAAAAGAAACTGCTGCGATCATGGAAAAAAAGGTGGTACAAGATGAAAGAATTGGTAATAGAACCAGCCAGCTGCTGTTTCCGTGCACAGTGAAAGCCCAGCCCTTTTGAGTGTCAATCAAATGTTCCCGACGTTCAGGACGCGGAAGTCAAGAGGAGATTGGGTTACCTCGTCTCAGTTTTGCTTTAATGTTTGCTGTTTGCTCCTGTGTTAGAAGCGTGCTTTTTGTTCTGAGTATATTCGTGTAAAGGTTCTTGGTCTGGTGCAATAACACGAGAGGTAAGCAGAGGCTGGCCGGGTATGAGTGGGTCGATGCTGCAAGTTGTAAAGTCTAGAGCATTGACCCAGCCGCACATTGAGGTTGCGGAGTAAAGCGGGGTAGCATGTGGGCAGTGTTTGCGAGTTATTCCCCAGCTTTTCAACATGTCACCGTGTCCTGCAGACCTCATTAATGCAGATCACTGCACAGGCAATTTATACGGCGCAAGCGGTTTCATTTAGCACGTTTCATTCTGACTCCTATTTGTCGTAAATCTTGTGGGCGGACATTGTTTTTGTTATGGAAACCACAAAAACGAAGCAGTTTCATTTTCTCAGATGCTGGCAATACACGGGGAATTGTAGCTAATGTTTCAAGCAGAGCTTTGGCCAGATTAGGATTTCTTTACGATTCTTCCGTTTTCGTATTATCATGTCGGGTATCAACTCGACCTAAATCATATGACCGGGTCATACTGATGAGATCGGTACACAGAATAACACTGCACTCTCCTGGGTGAATATGTGAGGTGTTTTGCAATGGCTTCTCCTCCTCTTATATATTTCTGATGCAGGCACGTTTATTCCACATTCACGCCCTTATTATCTAGAAACGAAATGTCAGATTCTATAGAGATACTAAGAACTGCAGATGCTGGAGTCAGAGATTACACAGTGTGGAGCTGGAGGAACACAGCAGGCCAGGCAGCATATGAGGAGCAGGAAAGTTGACTTTTTGGGTCACGATCCTTCTTCAGCTTTCTGAAAAAGGGTCCTGACCCAAAACGTCAACTTTACTGCTCCTCTGATGCTGCCTGGCCTACTGTGTTCATCCAGCTCCACACTGTGTTATGTCAGATTGAGGATGGCCAGCTGTACTTGGCAGCCACCCCTTGACTGCTCCACTATCTCTGATTTTGCCACATTACTTGTGAGATGCCCAGTATCTTCAGTCCCTGCTGCAGATTCTGTTCCTTCGTACCTGACTCCCTCAATCATCCTGGTGCCCTATTTGACCTTGAGCTTCTGACTCATATCTTCTCCATTAAGGTCACCTCCTTTCACCGCTGCCTCAACAGATGTGCTGAAAGTTCCAGCCATACCTTTGTTACATCTGAATTTCTCAGGCTGATCTTCCACCTTTGGACCATCTATGAACATCAGCTCATCCAAAGCTGTTATGCTAATATCCTCATTCTCTCAAAATCATGTTCAGTTATCGTATCTGTCCTTGCTACGTTGGCTTGACTCAACAATGTCCAATTTTTAAAAATCAATTATTATCAACTCCCTCCGTATCACCGCAACTCCTGAAGCCTGGTCTTTCAGAAGATTTTTGGTAAGGACGCTACAGGAGGTTGGTTGACAATTAATAAGCCTGGTGTAGGGGATAATGTCATGGCATGGATTAAGAGTTGGCTCACAAAAAATGAAAGGAATAACTGGAGCATTCTCATATTGTCAGATTGTGATTAGTAGGGTACCACAAAGATCAGTAATTTGGCCCTAGCTGTCCACAATATATATCCATGAAATTTATGTGGGGACCAAAAGTAATATTTCTAAATTTGCAGGGGACACAGAGTTAAGCAGAAATGTGTGCTGTGAGGAAGGTATAAAATGTTTTCAGGATGATTTGGATGGGCTTAGTGATTGGCTGAAAACATGACAGAAGGAATATACTGTGGATAAATGTAGGGTTATCCACTTTGGTAGGAAAAACAGATGTACAGCGTATTTCTTAAATGTTTAGAGGTTGGAAAGTACATGTACAAAGGGATTTGGATGTACTTGTTAATAAGTCACTGAAGGCTAATGGCAGATGTTGCAAACTATTAGAGAGGCATTGGAATGTTAGCATTTATCACAAGGGGATTTGAGTACAGGAATAGTGAAGTCTTGCTTCAAATGTATAAGCATTTGGTTAGACCTTACCTGGAGTACTGTATGAAGTTTTTGTCTCTTTATCTTAGGAAATATATTATTGCCATAGAGGGAGTGCAATATAGCTTCACCAGACTTATCATCATAGAAAGCCCACTGTGTGGAAACAGGCCATTCAACCCAACAAGTCCACACCGCCGCTCCGAAGAGCATCCCACCCAGACCCGTATATTCCACGTCTATCCCAAACATCTCTGGACACTACGGGCAATTTAGCATGGCCAATCCACCTACCCTGCACATCTTTAGACTGTGGGGGGAAACTGGAGCACCCAGAGGAAACCCATGCAGACATGGGGAGAATGTGCAAACTCCACATAGACCACTGCTAACCACTGAACCACCACACCACCCACTTGTTCCCAGAATGGCAGGACTACCCCGTGAAGAGAGACTGGGCAAACTGGGCCTGTAGAATTTCAAAGAATGAGAGGTGACCTCATTGAAATGTACAAAATAATTAAAGGGATAGATGCAGGTAAGATGTTTCTCCTGGTTGGAAAATCTAGAACTAAAGGACAGTAGTTGGAGAAGGAGTTGCAAGTTAGGACTGATGAGAAATTTTCTTACTTGGTGGTGAATCTTTGGAATTCTGTACCCCAGAGGGCTGTGGAAGCTCAGTTTTTGAGTATATTAAAAATAGAGGTTGATAAATATTTAATTATTAATGGTGTAAAGGATTGTGGCAATAATATGCATAAAAGGCATTGAAGTGTACAATCAGCCATGGCTCAATGGGCTGACTGGCATAATCCTGTCCTTATGTCCATGAAGGAATTGACAGCAGGGAGACACGAGGCATGGTTGATTTTTGACTCTCAATCCTATGCCAAAGCTATCTAGTTAAACCCACTTTCCTGCTCCTCCCACTTAACCCTATAAATTCTTCACTTTTTTTAAAATCCAATTCTCTTTTGAATGTTACCATTGAGTCTGCTTGCACTACCCCTTCAGCAGTGTTTTACGTGTCACAACAACTTGTTGCATATAAAGAAAATATATACATCCGCACATCTCTCTGGGGTTCTTTTGCCCATCTATGATGCAATAGTTTTTGACCTTACTGCTACTGGAAACAGTTTATCCTTGTATATAAAAACATGTACACCATTATGAAATCTCCACTGCTGTAATTCTTCTTCTTTCCTGTCTTCCACCATAAATGTTGCAAGACATGTATTTATTTTTCAAAAAATATTGTTAATTGTGAAACTGGGATTTTGTGTTCATATTCTGTACTTAGACTTGTTATGTTTAGTAATTGGCTGGACATGAAAATCAAAGTCAGATGATTTCTGAATTTAATGGATCATTAGTCATTTGGTTTCAAAATAGCCTAACATAGGACTTTTCAGAGATAATTTTCGGACAATTCCACCGCGTGACATGAAATGCTATTTAAATAATTAAAGCATACTAATGATGTTATAACAATTCTGATATACACTAAACAATTTGTTTGATCTCTGTCCATAAAGAAGCAAATTAGCTAAGATGACAGATTTCCTTCTCTAAAGGTTGTTAAGGAACCAAATGGTCTGCTTTTTAAAAATTACTCATCGTTGCCACCATTATTGAGACTAGCTTTATAATTCGATGTTTGGTAATTGAATTTAAATTAAATCAGTTGCTGTATTGGGATTTGAACCTATGTTTCCTAAGCATTAGTCTAAGTTCATGTTTACTAATCCAGTGATATTATCTTTCTTACAGGAGTATGATTGCAGCCATACACAACGATCTAAGTATAGTCTGCCTAATATTTTGTATAACGCATAGAACAGCAATCTTAGCTGGTTTCTGTACAGCGATTTCTAGAACAGACCATTGTACAGTATGAGACTCATATATGATTGGAGCCCAAAAGTTTTCCTATCTCAAAACCCCATTCCAGTATTTCTTCTGTTTTAATCTATATGATCTATGCATGTATTTGTGTGAGTGATGGAGGGAGGGAGGGAGAATGATGTTTTTCTAAGGCTGACACCACAACCCTTTACTGTTTTATTGTATAGATATGGTATTACTCATTGGATTTTGGTGAGGTATTTGATGTTTTGTGTATAATAATAGTTGCAGCTCGTAGGAGTGGTTAGTTCAGTGGGCTAGACAGCTAGTATATAGTTCAACCTCATTCCATTTGAGATAGGCTTGAGTCTGCCTCCTCACCCAGATCCTCACCCAACCTGTACTAAAAACAAATCACAACACTATCCAGCTGTGGTTTGGCAAAGAAGGACCAAAGGATTGGGCAGAACAGCTTGAAGAAGTAATGCTGTTGTCGAAATGGGACTTTCCAATACTAAGAATACAAGTACAGGAATAGTCAGATCAGAAATATTATCTTTGCTCCCTAACTCACTAGAATTGATATATAGTATAATATTTATTTCAATAATCCAATTGTCCTTTTCAGTTAACATAGTCAGAGCTGTAGTTTCTCATTGATTACAGGTCACATGATTTGACTGCATGACAGAACTGGTCTAACCTGTCAGGTTTAAATTACAGCAGAGTGCATTTTATGAACATCAATAGGTAATAATACTTAAGTTGGGCTGCAAATGTGATTTAAAAATTATAAGTTTTGATACCTTTGTTGACACCCTTACTTACTTGGATAACAAATTTTGGAAAATCAACCTATGTGTCTAAAGTCTGCTTCCCCCAAGTTTTGGACATTCCTTCACCAGTTTCTGGCAGGTCAGACCAGATGCTGACAAGATGGAATTATGTTACCTGTAATAAGCAAAAAGCTGTTAATCTGTCTAACGGTAACTCAATAGGCAAGTGTGGAAATCACATTATTTTTGTCAACCTGTTTGTTAAAATTTATTGTTTCAGTTGCTTAGCTTTTGCTGCTTTTTCATTTCCCTGCGTCCCCCAGCTTTGTGGTTTGCTACTTGTGTCGCATCCACAACATAGTTCCTGTTTTACAAATATTTAGTGGTTGACGGTTTGTCTCTTCAAATGGTTATGGATCTGAAATATATTTCTAACTATTTCTGTTTGTGGAGCTTTTAGATTTTTCTTTTAAAAAGAGTATGGTGGCAAATTTTAAAATTACTTTACGCACA